AATAATGGAAAACACCAAGGGCTGTGTAGTGGTGTCTTGAAGACAAAATAAAACCCTAAGGGATTTGATTAGTAGGAGCAGAAGAGAAAGTGGTTCACTCTGTGTTCACTGAAAGATGAAAACAGTGACCAGAGGAACTACAAGAAAAGAAGTTTCTCATGTGGACTAAAAAAGATGGGTGATGTAAATCTAGCCTGGTTCTGAGCAGAGTTTGTGGGTCAACCTAATTTGAGCTAAAGGGCACGTTTATCCCATTTAAAGTATCTTCCGGGAATCACTAGCTGTCCAATTATTGGTTAAGTCCTGAAATAAAAGAAGTTAGTCTGGCTGATCTTTTTGTCTGGTCTAGAGTCCCTCTGCATTTTTATTAATAGGATACAATGAATAAAACTGAGTAAAACCTACAGTTTCAGCTTTCTCAGTGTATTGATGACCACTGGCTCCCATCTCATCACCCCTTGTTTCATCAAGAATGTGGTTCTTCAGAGCTGGCCTTCCAAGAAAGTTTATAAAATCGGACAGTCTCATCCCTGCATTATTGAGTTCATGCCCCTCATTTTACTACCCCAGAAACTGGAATTTATAAAAGGTAAAGAATTGCCAGAAACCACATAGCCAGAGCAAGAAGCCATGGTTCTCTGCACACTTAGTCTCATGGTCCTGCTCGTCAGAGGCCAAAACATGAGCCAAAGGACGTGATAATTTATACTTGTTGCTGATTTACACTTCACTTCCTACTTGCATGCCTGTCAATATCCATCTTTTTCCAAGAAGACCTTATACCATAATATACTTTAAATCTCCATCAACATTTCGATCAGCCCCAAGATAAAGGATTTTTATTCCATATTATACTTATTGCTGGATCTAAGAAAAATAATTGGAATGCATGCATTCTGTATAACACTTGGGAAGTCCAATATATTTCTAAGAAACATAAGTTAAAATTATGTGATATAATAATGATACAATGTTGATCTAGTGAAGATTTTATATGAACTATTTCTAAATTCCACTAGAAATAGAAATCTTCAGAAAAAACATTTTAATGCTGGCTAAAGTCATATTTTATGCTAAAACATGAGATCTTTTTAGAGGCGATCACCTATAAGATTACTTTCCTATTTGGTTACTAACCTAAATGATGTTATTTTACTGGGTTTCCTATGTGCTGCAGATCCTGCTGGGAAAGCATAAAACCGGACTCATTTAGGAAGAGGCAATGTGGCTATATGAGAAAAGCTGCCCTATGTGCACTTTATGCCTGCTGAAATTTCTGTATTTCACGTCTCCTAGGGAAATGTCCATTGTGCTATTGTGTAATTTTATCAGCATGAACTTCTGCTGAATATTTTCTCTTCTCTTCAAAACCCATATTTTGGTAGAGCTAACTTCCAAACTTAATGTTACAACATCTGTGCCCATACACCTGGGAGCCATCGAAGACATATCCTAAAGATTATCTACATTTTCTGATCTTATATAGAATGCTGTGAAATGAGACAAAAAGGTTATACATTTTTCCTGGTCTGGAATTTTTTGAAAGGAACCACTTTCTGTCTCCTTAGAAAGATTCTCAAAAGAGAACCAATATTTCTAAGGCTGTAAAGAATATCCCTATAAATTTAACAGAGTACTCATTTTTTTTTTTGGCAGATAAGAGTAGCTCTTAATGCGTGTATGCAACTTTCCACTAAGAGACACTGTGAATATACACAAACCCTGGAGCTATGTTCTCAAAATATTTTCAAACAAAACTCTTCAGTAACTATAGGAAACAAAAGAAAAGAACATTCAATGACTACTTTTATTCTGTGGATCTAAAATCAATAAAGCAATGGCATCTTCTTTTAAAAATAAAAATTATGGTTGAATCAGCATTTCTCAAACAGAAGATTGAAATCTTAACCAAAAAAAAAAATTTTCTCAATATACAGAAATGTCTCCCACCTCACCTTTCATTAATTGTTCTATCTTTCTGTATTAAATACACATGTTGAAACAGCCTGCAGGAGATGGTACTGAAAACAAAATGGGCAGAACAATTTGCTGCTGAAGGATAATGTAGACTATATGAAACTTTTATGGCTTCAAAATAGTGAGGAATGGACTTGGGGAACTCCACATGTGGATTCTCTTGACTTTGTCATCAATTTATCCAATTATGATAAGTACTAAACACTTAAGGTGTGCTTTCTATGTGTCAGGTATGGTTGGAATTGCTTTACATCACTTTACTCATTAAAGTTTCGTCACAAGCATATCTGTCATCACCCTCTTACAGATGAGGAAACTGAGGCATTGAAAGATTAAATAATCTGCCCCAGGTCATCCAGCTTGTCAGTGGGGGGCAGGGCTGCTGCAGTGCACCCCAAATCTACATTGCTCCCTTTTTCTTTGGTTACTTTCTTTATATGTAAGAGAATAGCTTTTAACTCTTACTTTGAAGCAACGAGTAAGATGATAAAGGTGGTTAATTTTAAGTTATTTCGAATTTAAACAGAAATATTCAAGGCAGGGCCAAGTTAATTATCTCTGGTAAAGAAGGGAAAACTCAGTTAATTCAAGCCCATAAGCATTATTATTCTCCGACAGTGAAAAGTCAAATTTTTAACAAAGAAATTCAACTTCAAAGTTGCTACAAGCAAGAGGCTTCCCTGGTGGTGCAGTGGTTAGGAGTCCTCCTGCTAGTGCGGGGCACACGGGCTCAAGACCTGGTCCGGGAGGAGCCCACATACCACGGAGCAACTGAGCTTGTGTACCTCAGCTGCTGGGCCTGTGCTCTGGAGCCCACGAGCCACAACTACTGAAGCCCACACGCCTGGAGCCTGTGCCCCGCAGCGGGAGAAGCCACCGCAATGGGAAGCCAGCGCACCGCAACGAAGAGTAGCCCTCGCTGGCTGCAGCTAGAGAGGGCCTGCGCGCAGCAATGAAGACCCAACGCAGCCAATAAAACAAATAAATAAATTAATTAATTAAAAAAAAGTTGCTACAAGTAGCAGAATTTGATCTTACTTCTTTCCCACATGCCATTTCTCCATTTGCAGAAGAGGATTGGCATCCCTAGGAGGGAGAATTGAACTCTTCAGTAACTAGAGGAGTCCTACATGCTGGAGAAGCCACTGGGAGAAGGATGACAAGTCAACGTGTGCTGAACACAAGCTTTTTCCCTTGTAGGTCAAGTTAAAAAGAGGACAATGTACCAGTTGTTTGATGTTCCTCATTTGCATGTCCTGAGGCACAACGTACAAAGTAAATAATTTCTGCTATAGAGAAATTAAGCAGGCAGATGCAATATTCTCTATTTTATATTTTACAAGTACAACTGAATGTATAACCACGCAAGACCCTAAGGGGACTTCCTGGAACAGACCCCTCCCCATATCCTCCTCTGTAGCTCAACTCTGAAGTACCCAGATAAGACTATCTCATGCATATTTCCTTACTTTTTCAGATGCTAAAAACCACCACCTAAGGGAAGAAATTAACTACTTGCTGATCATGAGCCTGTAGCCCCCAGACCTTCTGGAGCCTAAGGACTGATAATGTTAACTCCTGCGACACACTGCCCTGTTACCTCACCATCAACCAATCAGAGAATTGTGCAGCAGCTGCTCACAGACCCTTGGACGCCCCTCCCTCTCTGGCCTTTAAAAATGCTTTGCTGAAACCCTTCAGGGAGTTTGGAATGTTTTGAACAAGAGCCACCCATTCAGGGCCCTTGATAAACCTTTCTCTGCTCAAAACTCTGATGTTTCAGTTTGTTTGGCTTCACTGTGAGAGGGGAATATGAACTGGTGGTCAGTAACAAAGGAGCAAGGCCATGTATCTGTATTTCAAGTAAGGGTTGTATCAATTTTCTATTATCATCGTCAGACATAAAATTCTCCAAATATACCATTTACTTGACTTGCCAGGAACATGGTGTCATGAAGCTGAACTAGGATTTACAATTAGAGAAAAGGTCATTAGAGGCATAGATATAGAAGAATATTGTGCTCTAAATGCAGTGGAAATTAAAACAGGATGTCAGAATCACTAACATGACTTAGTAATTAAACTGTATCAACGCAGCTGCCAAAAGAGTTCATAATTTGGAAGCTGTACTTACTATTGACCTGATTTTACAATTGAGATCATGTCTGTGTTTTCATTTGAAAACAAAATTGATCACTGTGTTCTGTGAACGAGGCCTGTCAAGTTATTACTCTATAACTACTTTGCAAACACATTTTAAGACCAGTATGATTTATGATACAGCAGAAGAGATAAATGATCTCCTTTTTTATTTCACATTTTACCTCCTTTTAAGAGATTGCTTTATATTGAAAAATGAAATTCTTTAAGTTCTTTAATAAATAATAAATTTCTTTGATAATTTTTTAGACTTTTAAAAATGTTTACCTTTAATATATTGACTTCTTGCCCCAAAGGCTGCTTTAAAATTTACCAAGTGTTCATTCTTCTTATGTCCTCTGAAATCATTATAATGCTCACTTATTTTTTTAAACAGTACTCAATATAATTGTACCCTAATATTAGTGGACAAACATAATTTAGAAGGTTCATATAATGTGCTTATTTTACACAAATTGCTTCCTTCGTCACTACCATATGAAGGATGACAGAATGAAATCAATACAAAATGGTTAATCTATTTGTTTTAAAGCCATTTCAGATTTTCTAGGACTTTTATCTGTCTAGTCCATAATTTCTATTTCTTAGAGGCTTTCTCAAAACTGTGATTTTTAAAAATCGAATCAAAATGAATAATAAAAACATCTTCATATTCTTTGAAAGGATGAAAAACTGTTACAAGTATCTTCTTTTGCTACTTCTGGATTTTATTCTACTTTCAAAAGTAGGTTTAGAATTAAAGAAATGTTCATTTTGCCCCTTGACAGACTGCAGTTTCATGAGGATAACCCTGATGGTTGAATTCTAGGCAGGAATCCAAAGAAACTCTTATACTTGATGGGTTAATTTAAGGGCAGTCCTACCTTTTTCACCTTCTTTTCCGTCTTGGTCATCTGTTAGTGGAATCACTTCTTGCTGCTCCAAGATCGTGATATCTTCTTGGTTCAATGAAAGCTCTAAATAGAATGAGACAGAAGGATACTCAGGAATGTTTTAGTTGGAATCATTGAGAAAACAGTGACTAAAGCACCAAGTTCTTTTTTCCCCTCCAAGTTTCAACGGGCATACAAAGCAGAACACTACCGCCACTGTCTAGTGATCACTGCTGAAAGCATACACGCACCCCACTCATACACACCAGTATATATAGAAGTCATGATCCACAGTTTCACGTCATTCTCAGATAACAATATATTCTGGTTTCAATACCTTCTGTTTCCATATATGAGCTCTGGGACTCTGCCTCAATGTTTATTTCATTCTTCATTGAATCATTCTTTTGTCCTGTTAAGAACAGTGATTGAAAAATAAATGTGATATGCATGACCATAGCTTTATTCCTGGTTTAAAAAGGCAAACATTTCAGAAACCAGGCTTTGATCATGCCTGGAGAGGCAGACAACAGTTTTGAACCAAAGTGGAGGGTGAAGATGTCATTTTGCAAATCATCAAAATTATATCAAGTATTTTATGAGAAATATCCAGATAATGTAGGCAAAAAACTTTTCTTTGAACTGACTAGTATAATTAATATTTAGCTTATAAATACACTGAACATCAATGGATACAACCTGGCTGTTTTGAAATTTTAAATAATTTCTGGGTTGCAGGGGTTGCATCCAATTTCCCTTTATTATATAGATATTTCCCATCTTGAGGATTCCTAGAAAATTAAAACACTGCTTGTACTTTCATTCTTCTATCAAGAGAGCATAATAAAACTTTAGTAATGTGAGCACACAGGGATGGGGGTCACCTAACAGCTCAACCATTCTCATAAAACACCTACTAAATATAGCAAAAGTCAGGAGAGAATTCAGCTAGCTCTTGATTACTCCAAGGCTGATTATCTAGGAATAGTTTTACTTTTGCACCCCCTGGGTTCTCCTCCTCTCCCCTGTGGTGTCTAGAACATTTAAGTGCTAAGAGAAGAAATTGAAATCTGTCCACTTTGCATCATTTTAATGAAAGATTTTATGCTAAGGATATTTAACTGTTGAATTAAAAAAAAAAAAAAAATTCCAGAGCCAGAGGTTACAGGCGCGAAGGTGAAGCAGACGTGTTTGGGCTCTTTGTCTGGGTCTGTCCCTGGGGGAGATGTATCATTGTTCCAAGTTGTCTCTACTTCTGTAAAAGGATCCTCATTTCCTGCCTGTGACCATGTGACCTGCACTGGCTCCTGTGAGACAAGTATATGTACCCAGCCCATATAAACAGAATATACAGTGTGTGCTATTTTGTATCTTACTATTTATACTTGTTTTCTGTAAGATTAATCCTAGTCACCACATGCATCAATTGTCCATTCTTTCCCACTGACGTATATTCTTCCATTGTTGGAATATGTTTCAGTTTGGGGCTAAATGAATAACATTGCTAAAAACATTCTTGTACATGTCTTTTGATGGACATATGTACTCATATCACTTGGGTATAAACACAGGAGTGAGACTGTTAAGTAACAGGCAACACACATGTTTAGCTTTACTAGTTCCTGAAAAAACAGTGTTCTGAAGAGTTTATTCCATTTTATAGTGCCACCAGAAATGTATGAGAATTCCATTTGTGCCCTTTATTCTTTAGACTATGTTGTGATACTACTTGTCACAAAAGTCTTTATATGGAGCAGAAAGCCATGCAAAATCTTCCCCCCAAAACCCATTTCCATCCTTTTCACCTCTGGGTACTATATAGAGTGATCACATCTTTGCATATTGAGTCCCTTTGCCTATTCACCTGTTTATTATTCTCCTCATCACACTGTAACATAGCTGTATCTGTGTTTGTTTCCCTTATCAGGGTATGAGCACTGTGAAGATAAATACTGTTTTATTCATTTCTCTTCCCAGCACCTACTAATAAGGAGTGATCCCAAAATGTCCATTTAATTGGCCCTCTGTTATAGTATTCATCAATGTCTCTAAATAGTAATTAGGGTCTGTAACTTGCTTCCTATTGTACCTTTGGCAACAAAGCACTAAGGCTACTAGACGCTTCATATACTATATTTATTGCAAAGAACCTTGGAAGAAGAATTGAATGTTTTAGGCAAATCACAACCTCTTTGGGCTTCAATTTTATTATCTTTAGAAAAAAAGGCCAAGAAACTAGATACTATCTTAGATTCCCTCTATCTTTGGCATTATATAAGGATATGTCTCCTGGTAAAGTTTCTAGTCATCCCTGACATTTGTTTACTGGGAGGATGACGTGGAGGGAACCTTCACTGTTTTGAGTGAGCCCTCATTCTCTATCACTGTTGATGGGGAACTGACCATCGCACTGCCTCCCAGTCATTGCTGGGACCTTAACTCATTATCTGTGATCTGACTTTGTACAGTGACGGGGAAGACCAGGGCATTCGGAGGGTAGAAGCAGCCACTTTACTGCAGTGTGTCTCCAGTCTCAGGGCCCCATTCCATACATTCTCAGAGGAATTCCATCAGGAATAGGAAGATCGCAATTCACCAGGGCCTGGGGCACCGCAGATTGGGTGGGACCACATGGGGTGGTAGCCTGAGGCTTTGATGAATACCAAGGATTTTCTCGCCTCCCAGGAAGGCCTGGCCCTTCACTTTGAGGATAAGAGGCCACGGCCAAGCTCTTTTGGAATATTCCCCTCCCCGCCCTTTTCACTCTTCACCTGTTTTTACCTGTGTGCTCTACATATTTTGGCAATCTTCTCTTGAAACGAAAATGCATATATTTTTTTCTCATTTTCCTGAAATTAAGTTCGTGAAAAATAGGGAAAGCAAGGAGGTTCTCAGCTTTGAAATCCAAGAATGCTCATACTTGCTCATGCCTGAGCCACGCCAGGATTTGGCATATTGTATGGAGGAGGTATGTGTGAGCACCGGGCCCTGCCCCCAGGCCTGCTGTGTGTTAATGATGACTCAGTCCATCTGCCTTTCTCTCCAGCCTCTCAGAAATACCACATTCCATCCTGCTTTACTGACCCCATGGGGGCACGCTTTATGTTTGCCTCTCTACATTCAGTCTGGTTGAATTCCACCCACTGTCCTTTGCCCTAATCCCGCCTGGCAGAAGAAACAAAAGAGCATGAAGGATCCCACAGTTTATATGTATATTTTTTACACAGTGAACTCAATCAGCCATACTAATGGGAGGGGACCATTAGAATAGATAATCCAAAAATCCTTTCACTTTTCTTTAGAAACAGATCACATGATTGTTTCTTGGAGGCCTGGTAATTAAGTTTGGCTCAAGCTAATGCTTTAATTAATTTGCATAAAAATCGGTCTGGGAACATCAGTCTGGAATTAAACATTTCTAGAGGAGGATAAACTTAAACTCACTTCATAAATGGGCTGTTTCTAAACAATAGCAACAACAATATAGTTTTGTTGTGTATAGGTTATTAGATGCTCAGATCTTCTTAAGAACAAAGACTTTGTTTCTTTGATGCTTCTCTTAAAGATAATAGAAATTATGTCCTTTTGTTAAGCTTGCAACTTGATTGCTGCTATTATTCAAAGTTCTGCTTGTCTAAAAATACCCCAGATTAAGAGTAAAGTTAAACCTAGGTTAGTGTGAATTTGATTATCTTCTAAGCTATCCTCAGAGTTCTCCTAGGGCCAATAAAACTTACAATGTAAATTATTTCTACGATTATTCTTTTTTGTAGTTACAAAAGAAAGTCAGTTTTCTTATAGAAACACTTAAAAATACTTACAAATATTGAGAAGTATGAATAATTTTACAACTAAGGGATTGCCACTTAATACTGTAAACTGCTATCGTTCTTTTGTACGTGTGTATGTACATATGCATGCGTGTATATATATGTATACAAATATATTTATCTGTATATAAGTGTGTGCCTTTGTGTATGTCTGAATATAAAAAATATGTAACTATACACACACACTTATATACGCACATACATACACAATTTACAGAAATATATAAATGTATCCTGGCATTGAAATGAATTTACACTTTGATTCTTGCTTTTCTAGTTTACATTTTTATAAGCAGCTTACACTGTCATTACAATTTCTTCAGAAATCTTATAAGATGCATTATATTCCATGTTATGGGCATATTTTTGGATGTTCCCTTTTTAAAAAAATTTTTGCCAACGAACACAGTACTGCAATGAACATTTTTGTGGATACATACCTCTGTACTTTTGGTAGATGTTACTTTAAGATAAATTCTTAAAGCATAATTTTTGGATCAAAGTGTAAACATTTTACCCTTTTATTACATTTTGTCAAAATTGCTAATGAGGAGGTTATGCCCTTTAATCGCCCACCAATGGTGTGTGAGCATGTCTGGATACCCTCTTCATACCAATTCTGTGTATTTTCAATCCTACTTATTAAACATCTGATATTCAAAAGGAGAAGACACTGAAATCATGTTTTATTTGCGTCTCTTCAAGAAATGAAGAGATAGGTCATCTCTTCATGTTTATAATGACTGTATTTCTTCTTTTGTGAATTGTGAGTCCTTTGCCCATTTTCCTCTTGGGTTACTTTTTTTTCTTATTGATTTATGAAGTCTTTATTTTTGTAATAAGAAAATTAATTCTTTGTCATTTAGGCTGAGAATACTTTTCCTAACAGTTTTTCTTTAGAATTTGATTACAACCTTTATTTATCATGTCAAAATTTATATATTCAGATTTAGCCACTTTCCTCTTTTATGACATATATGGACATATGAACACACATAGTCCAGATATATATATGTATGTGCATGTATTTTATAATACATAAGCATACAATCATGTGTCTGTATATATTCACATTTCAAAAAGCAGTCCTTATTTCAAAATAAAAAAAATATACCTTTGGTTCTTTTAGTCTAGTATTTTTATAGTTTCAGTTTTACATTTCATCTTTGCTCCTTTTGGAATTTAAATTGGCATAAGGAATGAGATTGGGATTCAGTTTATTTTTCCAAATGGCCAAATAGTTGTCTTAATGACATTTACTGAGTCATCTGTCTTTAAAATGTCAGCCTGAATATGTACTGAAATCTCAGATCTGCTGGGGTCTATTTCCAAATTCTTTGTTCTGTTTCATTGATCAGCCTGTCCATCCCTCTAGTAGGACTACACTGTTAATCACATTTTTCAAAGATTCCATGTCATTTTTAGTATATTGATTCTGTCATTGACTGATAATATCATATCTGTGAATTCCCCATCTCCTTCTCAATTGCATTTTATTCATATTGTATCTTTCTATATCATCTGACACATAAAAACCCATCATTGTTATATTTAATCAGAGATTTAAATTTTTATTGATATA